CCCCAAAACCCCAAAACCCCAAAACCCCAAAACCCCAAAACCCCTTCTTTATTCAACAAGATTGATTACAAATATTCTTTATTGATCCTCTAATGTAATTTCTTTGAAATCGTTGGTATCTAAATTAGATGAGACATGGATAATACCTGATACAAATTGGCAGTTCTCCAATTTGACATAGTCCGTTGGGCTAGGCAACTTTTCTTCCCTTGATAACTCACTCTCCCACTTGCCTGTATAGTATGAAAAGATTTTATAGTGCCCAACTAAGATGACTTTTTGATCCCTATGTTCAGTTATTTTAAACCCTACTTCGAGATTTTGTTCTTAGAAATGTAAGACTTTACAAACTTATTTAAGCTCTGTAGACCTTTCTCGCATCTTCCACCCACATTCCAGTGGCTTAGGCATTAATTCACGAATGCAATCCATGAGGAGTTCACACAGATTAGTGTTTAAAGAGTCCTCTCAATCATCCTTTAAGTCGGATTTTAACTAAAAGATAGTATTTGGTGAATACCTTTTCCTGAAACTCTTCGTTTTTATTACTGAATGTAAAATCGTCCATGAACCAATGAGCCCTACTCTCTTTCTTGTTGATCTCTGAGTCATCCAGTTGTGGAATTAATGGCCTATTTTGGTTGCTTAGAGCTTACTTGAATTCTTCCAATATATCATCAATATGAACAGGGCAATCTCCCATGTGATTTATACATTCTCTGAGTCAAGGTAGCATGATGAATTTTATATTCTCAAGATTGGGATGATCTTTGTACACATGGTATGCAGTCATCATTGCCCTTCTCATTGGGGATACAATAACTGTGTGGATATCGAGCTGGTTCGCAATTTTTTGGGATTTTAAGCATTGCTCAATCCCTAATTCACTGATTCCTACTATCATTAATTCACACGAAAATGAGCAAAAATTGTATCTTTGAGTGATTTTATTTAAAGAAATTTCAGAAGATACTGAATAGGAACCAAAATTTCCTAAAAAGCCGGAAATCAAATTCTGACCATTAAGCTGTTAGATATTGGTGGTCTTATTGATCATAAACTTACTGGTATCGCGGTCTTCCTTTATGAAACTTCTATATTGATATTATTCAGCCATTCCAGTGTAAAAAGATTACCATTTGAGGTACTCCTCTTTAGGGATTTTACTTTCACATCCATATTTCCTCCTGAATTTTAGTCCAAAACTTACAATATGGGTATAAAGCGTGAATTTGATTCTGATTGTGCATGACGTTGTAGTATAACTTGGGATCTAAAGTTGGTACACTCAAGTCTCACCCTTCTTTAAGCGTTTGAATAAGTTTATCTTCCTCACTAATCCTAGACTCCATCAAAACTTTTTGTGTTTTAATATTATTTTAAAGCCTCCATTTTCTCTGAGAAGCCAGGGGTTTTGGGGTTTTGGGGTTTTGGGG